TGTTGTTTGGGACCACAGCTCAAACTGAAGTGGATTTGCATGTTAACTATCTGCAGTCCAAGAAAACTCTTCACATCACAAAGCGCCGTGAACACTCCCTTCACCTTCCAAGCAAACCAAATACTAAAATATTCTCCGTGTGATCTATATCTCTTGGGCAAAGGAGACTATCAGAAGTTTCTGTATCTAACATGGAGTGCACTTATGAGCCCTTTCTAGCTCAGCTTTGGCTCAGTCTGAAAGGGATTTAAAACATCACACACGTTTTGGACCTATGAAGTTACACAGACCTCTTGAAGAGACTATATATAGAAGTCTTTAACCAGACAAAAAGCCATTTTGGCAATTTGGCAACTTTTGGCAGCAGTGGCAGCTCAGACAGCCAAGCTGTAATTTCTACACCAAGTAATGAGCATTGAGTTCTGGGCTGAACTGAACCTCCCAGCACCCACCAAGAGCCAGCCCTAAAAGGCTGCTGCTGATGTGACAAAACACACTCTTTTCATTGTCAGCCTCTACATCAACACTTATGAACAACTGCCAGGCAGGAAAAGCAGAGGCCATGCTGGACTTCTTCAAACACAAACCCACTTCTGCAAAACAGATTAAGTAACACCTGACGGGCCAGAGGACATGGTAGAGAGTATTTAAGGTAGAGAGCATTTAAGGACAAGTCAGAACACACACACCAACATCAGCACCACTCCTCAGTTGCTAGTAAAAGACACAGCAACCCACCACAAACTGGACATGTAAATTCACTGGGAACATGTAGCCTTTTTTTTTTCCAGAGGAATCCCAATTGCCTGTAAAACTGACAGCTGTGTTAACAGGTTGAAAATCCCTGCTTTGTTTTAACACAGTTGCTTGGTTGCCTGAAAACCCAGAAAGCAACTGGAACAGTCCAAACCCCATGCCTTTTAACTGGGGTAACCTTGTGACCAGATGTCCCCTTGATCTGAGTGACAAGTTCAGTAGCAGTGCCGTGGCCCAGGCTCACTGATGTGCCTGAAGCCAGAGAGTCTCCAGTGAAATGTTCTGTCCCATTTCCCCCAAGCTCTCACGACTTGTTTCAAATGGACTGTTTTTTGAAGAAAGCCTACAACACCCCACAACTGATCAGAGAGAACCTACAGCCTGGCTACTCACAAGGGAGAAGATTCATAGCCCAACACCACATTTTTCATAAACCACCATCCTGGAAAGGCTGCAATGCCTGTGAAAGCCAGGACACATTGCAGAGCACTGGATCTTGGCTATACCTGTGCTGCTGCCAGGAAGAGGAGCTGTTCCCACTTCATCCACACAAATATTCACATGGCTGCCCAGAAAGCTGGGCCAGCTCCCTGAGCTGACTTCCCACTGTGTACCAGCACTAAGGATCGACCAGGAATAACAAGCAGGGCCAGGGGCAGCCTGGGACTCTCCTTGCACTACAGAGGTCAGGGAAGCCCATGGAAAATAACCAAAGGTAAGCCTGGGCTCAAACTTAAAACAAACTGGAGGAACAAAAGTAGTGCCTTTGGAGAGGAAACTAAAGGTTGAACACCTCTAGCCTCCCAAGATAGCATTAATTAATTTTGCTTTTTTAAAAAAAAGCCAGCCAGCTTTTAGATATTTGCAGGTCCCTTCAAGCCCACGGGAAACTATGTCATCCTCTCTCTCCTAACATCACCCTTCTTTTATTTTCTCTGTTCCTGTGACACACCATTTTCTTCCACTGGGTGACCCTGTCCACCCATCCATTTTAGAACACAGCTTTTCATTAGAGAGAAAAAGCAACGAAGGCAGAGGCTACAGGACAAACAGGGAGACCCATCTGCCCAAGATCACAAGCCCTGGGAAGGGCCATGAAAGGAGATGGGCCTGAGCTTTGCCCATGCTTCAGACAGGCAGTCTCCCAGGCATGATTCCACAGCTGAACTCTCAAAGGCTGCTTCCAAATTTAGGAGAATTTTTCCAGGGCTGCACTGGCAAATCCAGTTCTGCCTGACCACAGAGCCCAGAACCCTGTGCTCTACCAATTTGTAGATTATTCCTGTTGATTATTCTCTAACACTTCCTTAGGTTGCAATTTTTCCAGGTAAATAGTATTTTTCCACTGTCCCTGGTACTCTCTGGTTCAGTGCCCTGATTTAAGGCTTTCCCACACACACTTGAGTGCTGCCTGCCAAGTAAGAACTTTTGCTGGCAACTTTTGTTAATCCAGAGGAAGTGGTAAGGTCTTTCTGGTGTATTGAGCAACTGAGTGGTGCAGATCAAAAAAATTATAAACAATTAAATTTTTAAAAAATTATCTTCCAGTATGGGATTAAAAAAGATGAGGAAAACTGAAGAGTTTACTGATCCCATTTAGTTTTCTATCACCACTTTGACACTTGAACTCACTATGACAATAAGCTAAAGGTATGAATGCGTGTTGCAAGAGCAGAACCCTCACTTCCACACTAATCATAACACCACTAATTTATAAACCATTTAAGAGATTTAGTAATACTGCTACAGGACTACTGTTTTCTTGCCTGGGGATGCCTGCTTTCAGAAGGCCCTGTATTCATGGCTAATGAGTACTATCTTCTGCTATTAGAAGTGATGGAGCCTCTCCAGACTAATAAAACCTGTTACTGGTGCCTCAGACAGTAGGAATACCCCATGACCATTTCCACCTCCTGAGGCATGGATGGTGTGGTACTTCAGTCAGTCTCAGTCCAGTTCATGTGGCACTTTGCAGAAAACACAGCCTGTCCTGTCAGTCTGTTTCATTCCTAAGGAAGCTGCCGCATTCCCAGAGACCTATGGGACTTTTGGAAATGCTTTTGAATCACTGAGGAAGATGCTCATCCATCCTGTCCAAGTCCCAGTCTGTTGGTCATACTGTGGGGGTGCAACCCACAGCCACTCCCACTCTTCTCACACGGTGCCACAGCAGCAGTTCTCAATGCCTCCTGACAAAACAAAGGAGCTTCCTTTCCCAGGATACATTTGACAGAACTTGCTTTTCCTAGAATATCTGACATGAGCAGACTGTTTCTAAAGCCATCTTCCTGTCTCTTCTGCCAAACTCAATGGGCTGGAATGCTGAAGTTGCATCAAAAGATAGAGTTTAAGTGGGTATGTATATTGGTTTGATGCCTTGTGAGGAGAAAAGAACCAAGATAGTCAGAGCATTAATTGGTTATCCTGTGACACTGGGATTATTTCACTCTAGGAGCACAGGGAGCATCCCACAGTTATTAAGTGGTTTCAGTTGTGAGCAGTCTCTACAAAAAGCAATGAAGGGGAGAGTTCATGGGCCTCATCTGCCCTCCTCAGCACACCTGGAACCCACACGGATGCCAGGGGGTGTTGGGGACAGCCAGCAGGCAGGATGTGGCCTCTCAGCATACCTTGGTGTTGAGCTTCAGCTGCCTGCTCCTCACAGGCCCCACAAACACTCCTCAGCACTGTCATTTCCGCATATGTTGCTCCCACTAAGCCTCAGACATTCCTGGGACTGCCAAGTGGTCATGCAGTTATTCCATGTGTCCCATTCAACACAGCAATCAAGGCCAGTTGCCCTGAGCCACACTAAATGGTGTTTGCGTAACACATCCCAAGAACTACCTCACAGCTCCCAGGATTGCTTCATACCTTCCACACAGGGCTTGTGAAACCTGAGCAGACAAATGCCTTCCAGCCTGTCTCACTATCAGAGCAGCTTCTCCATCCTCCTCTCCCATGACAGTGGAAAAGGCTGGCTCAGGACATTTCCTGCAGTGCTGGTCACTATGCTTAGACACAAAAATAAAGCAAAACCTCAAACCAGACATGCTATTGCTCTAGCACAACGTGGATCATGGAACATGATACGTGTTGTGGTTTAAAGCAGAGGTTAACAGCAGAAGATTCCCATCATTATTAACATAAGACATGTGACTTCCTGGTCTGTGTGAAAAACCAGAGCAAGGCTTGGTCTCTACTGTTGCCAGATTCCATTACAGTTCTGGATGTCTCACAGCTAGAGCTGAAAGCAACTGCACAGGCAACCAGTCACCATCAGCTGAGAGAGATCAGTTAGTAGGTCCCACTGCTTACCAGTCTAGCAGGAAAACAGTGACATTCCCACTGCAAGAAATTCACCAGTTGAATTTCAGGTTAATTTCTTGGAAGCAGGCCACAGAAAACCACTTTAGAGTAAGAAAAGCACTTTTACACTACTTAGGATTCTGAAGCAACCAGAAATGTTGTCAGTGACATTTCACCCACTCAAGTGTCTTGACAAATCCTCTCCACACATTATTTGTTGACCAGAACTTATTCTTCCCCTGAATATTAGACACAATCACTAGAACCTTCATTCCAGCCAGCATGCATACATGGCAAGAAGTGCCACTGGGCCAGCACATTTTGATCTCACATTTCTTGCCAGCTGTCCCTTATCTTTTCAGATATATAATTTATACCATTATTTCTAAGAATCTGGAGAAGTGGCTGACCTAAAATGCTACTTCTGCAGAAGCCACTTCTCTTTCAAGTGAGGAGTTGAACTGAAGCAGTCCCCACCACACTAATGTCATTAGCACAAGCAAAGACTCAGTTATTATTATTATTATTATAGTAATGGGGTAAAGAGACCACATCCTGAGTGTGTGATGAGCACATGAAAAACACAGGGAAAAGTTTAAAAACTCTTCCTACTGACTATGGTTATTTGTGACAGTGTTTACTCCTGATGTTTTAAGGACATATTAGCTGTCCTTCTGAGAACACATTAACCATGAAGAGTATTGCAGAACATCAGCAGCTGACAGCATCCTCTGAGCTCCTCTCTTGTGTCCCACCAACTCACAGTTCCCACTGTATGTGTCCATCTGGAGCAGACTGCAGTTCTGGTAAAAGCGTGCTTTATGACAGGCGGGTGCACCAGTATCAGACTGCAGTGACTCAGTCAAGCAACACACTGCCTACAGAGATGAAGCACTGGCTAAAGAAAGAGCATGTGGAGAAGCAGAAGCTGTTACCTGTGGGTGGAGAGGGAAAAACATCCCCAGAAGGATAAAGCTCCTGGCTGTTTTCAGAGCTGTGTGGAGGCAGAAAGTGCTCTGCTAGGTCACAAACAGAGGGAAGGTCCAATATGCTGCTCTCTGAGGTGTGACTCGGTGACGTCTCCTTTTCTTCCATGGTCCCGCTGCAGACAGAAATGAGACTCAGCTGGGTTTTTGGAGCATGAGAATCTAAGCAGAAGTCAACACAAATAATCCGGCATTTCTGTACTGCTTTATGAGATGACAGGAGCTGTTCTAGTATAATCACAACTCAATTAAGAAAATAAAAACAAATTTAAAGATGTAAAGAAGAAACAACAGCAAGCCCCACGGATAACAGCCCTCAGCCTTAAGCAGGATAAGCAGGAGACCACAATAAATCTGGCTTTCTTAGAGGCTTCCCAGAAGTACAGCCTCAGGCCCCAAAACTAGGAAGCCGTGGAGCATACTCCCTTCAGGGTACCCTCTGTGTGCCACTTAAAAGGAAACACGTTCTACAGGGTCCCTTTCCACAGATGCTGCTACAAGTCTCAGGTTAAACCCATCCCTCCTGGCTTATGTTCACTGTCAGAAAGAAAAAGCATCTTACAACTTGGTAGCCTCAATCTCACAGGGATGGCAAAGACTTCCTGGCGTGGAGACAGCAGGGCAGCTGTGTTATATAATCTGTGCTCAGCATTTTGGAAAGCTTTGGTTGAAGCATCCCCTCATCCCAACACCTTTTTATCAAGCTTCTTCAACCAGTCCACCACCACAGAGGGAAAGAACACACAGCAAGACAGGGCTGGTGCCACCAGCTCCACACCAAGAGTTATGGTGAATGGGCAGCTCCTTTGGAGGATGGATCTAAAGTGTTCCAGTCCAGCAGCTCCAAGCACAGTCACAGAGCATCTGGGGCAGAAGAGCAGTGAAGTAAGTAAAACTTGGTGGGGGTAAGAGTGACATGACAGAGGATCCAGATCTGGTGGTCAGGCAATGGCCTGTGGCCCTGCAGGCTTACATTTATCTTCTTTTCTATAAATTAAGACAACAAATTCTTGTTTTGGGGGTATTATCAGTAAAGAATGTGACAGCCACAGTGGGAAAGGAAATCCCCAGAATGCATTAGTGGCAGATTTAAAAAAAAATAACATAATTCCTTAGGTGCTTCTGTGCTGAGTAAACTTTTATCTAAGATACACCTCTGACCTTTGCAAAATGCTGGCCAACTCACTAATGAAGAGAGTGGAGATGATGGCTGTAATACCAGAGAAGAACAGGTGCCTTGCCTTGGAGGAAAAAGGTCTGTGCACTCACAGAAACAGGAATTCCAGGAAAAAGGCAGTGGAAGGTTAAAAACAAAACAAAGTACACAACCATCTTCCCCAACAGAAGGAAACTTCTCCTCTACTGATTTTCAGGCACCAAAATATAAATGATCTGTACAGAAGGAATACAGAGAAGGGAAAACTTTCCTCAAATATTGTGTTTATGTTTTGTGCTACTTTAAAGAAGAATGGTATTTTAAAGAACTAAACTACCTATACCCTTCACTGGTCTGGAAAATCCCCAAAAACACACACCACAAGCACAATGGATTCTATCCCTCCAAGGGCAAATGGCAAATTACAGCAATAGGAGCTGTTGGTGTGATACCACAGCAGCTTAAGGCTGTCACTGATGGCAGCTGCAGTGGCCCTGGATGTCTCTGCCAGCTGCCTGTGCTGCTCCCCTTCTTTGTCTTGCCACAACAGGACTAACAACATGTGCAACCATGTTTTGATCAGGCTTAGATAAAACAAACCAGCTTTAAAACAAACTGTTTTCCTCTGGATTAGCTCCCTGTAGTCCTACCCCCAAAGCTGACAGTGAGACCACAACTCATGGTGTTTGTGAGGAAAGGCTCAGCCCTGGGCCTTCAGACAATTGAAAGAGACTCCCTATTTCCTCTGTGCCATACCTGGTAAGAGAGAGCACTGATGTGCAAACAGTCCCTTTGGACAAAGCCCAGGAGTAAAGTCTCTTGCTGCTTCAGGATTCCCTTATTCTTCCTTCATGGTTTGTCAGCCCCAGACTGCTGGAATGAAACAAACAGGTCAGTCAGATGCTTTGGGCCAGCTGATCTGGCAGAGGGACAGGGTGACCTTTCAAAGTGCATATGCTAGCCAATGCCAACAGCCAGTCATCACATATGCCACTGTTTGTTGGGTCTGGTACAGAGGAAAAGTTTCTTCTAGGAATCAGAAAGAGCACATCTAGCTATGCCCTTGAACATTTTGACTGCAGTGGAGACCTCCACTGGAATGGTACATCCAGAAAGGGACTCGTACATCCTAGAAGTAAAGGCAAGATTTACCTTACAAGAAGCTGCCAGATGGGCTGACAAAACCCATGTTCAAAACCCATCAACCAGAGAAGCAAGTAATAGCTGGCAACCTTCCCTCCCTCCTGTGGAAAGCAGCTATTTCCCCAACAGGTTTATCTAGGGGTGTCTTGAAGTCAACAACCTTTTCTGTCAAACCTAAACCAGGAAAGATGTTTTAAGAGGGCGACAAAACCCACCCAACACAGGCTCACAAAATGCAGATCCTGTTTTCTTTGCCATTACCTCGATAATTCTCAGTGAGCTACCAGGACAGGCATACTTTCAGGCAGAAACGGGATGTTTTTCTGGGCTACCTTCACCTGGTGGCACTGCACAGCTACCAGGAACGTCCCAAAGGCCTGTCCCGCACAGGCTTGCCTGGCTGGCAGCATTGCTGCAGAATGTGATGGATACAGGAGGATGTGAAGCACCGGCCTTACCAGCTGCCCTGCTCAGCAGGTGAGGGGGGTTCTCCTCCTCCCGGCCTCGTTTCTTTCCCCTTTTCCTTCAGGCAATATTCACGCGTTATTTCACAAACCACTCCCTTGGCAGTGAAGCGCACCAGGAGTGACACAGGGCATGGTGCGAGCCAGGAGAATGGCGTGGGCCATAGCCGGAGCACTCCGCGGCCTGGCCATGGCTGCTGCGCCACTCCCTCGCCACCTTCTGAGGGGAAATGCCACCGCAGCAGCCCAAGAGCAGCCAGAGCTCGGGGGAGGAGGGAGCGGAAACACGGGGAAAGTCAAAAGCGCGGCACGGCTGCCCCGGGCCGGGCCGCACTCGCACAGCCGCGCCTCGGGCCCTCCACGCTGCTGCCGGGCCAGCGAGGGCTCTCCTGCCCCGAGGCCGCCGGAGGGTGAGGGGAAGAGGGCAGAAGCCTCACGGCTGGGGGCAGGCGTGACCGGAGGGCCCCGAGCACGGCGTCGCTGGTCGAGAAGGGCCAGCGCTGAAAGGGAGCCGGGCAGCGGCGGCAGCGGCACTCCCCGAGCCCAGAGCGGCTGCGCAGGCCCCGGCCCGCCCCCGCGGGGCTGCGGGTGGGAAGGGGGCGGGTGGATTTCAAAATGTTCCAAGCCAGCATTTCCTCGCAAGGCGTTTAGCTCGGGTTTATCTCTCTGGATTCAGAGGGGAGGGGTTTTGGCGAGGTTAGGCAATGGCGCTGTCCCGTGCCTGGCGCCCCGGGTGCTGTCTCGGGCCGCTCACCGCCGCCCTGCAAAGCTGCAGCCTGGCCAGGCCCTGAGCAGCGCGGGGCTGCAGGGTGCAAACACCATAGCGCGGCCTGGGAAAAAACCAACACAATTCCACGCGGAACATAAGCTGCCAGCCTTCCTCCGAGGGCCTGCGGAGCTCATGGAGGAGATGTGCACCGAGGCCGTCCGTGTGCTCCCACCAGGAGTTTCGGCAGGCGGCGGAGCGGAAGGTTCGCAAACCCCGCTGAACCGCGGGATACAAAGCACGCTCAGTTTGGGGCATCCCATCGCTTCGGCACCGGGCGCGATCGGTGTGTGCTGCCACAGCCACAACAGGCGTGGTGACAAGGACATCCCGAGTCTCTTTATCAGGGAGTGTCGCGGACAAGCGCTGGATATTTCTCCAGCACAGAGAACGCAGTGCAGCGCACAGCCAGACACCCCGGGGCGGAGGTCAAGGATCCGCCCTGTCACCGTCTGGGCAGGCATCGGGACGAGAGCTGCCGGCCGGCCTGCCGGGAAGAAATGCTGCCAGGGGAGAGCTGCCTGGGCTCTGTGGCACGCCTGCTGTGAGAGAGGCTGGGAAGGAGCTGGGAGTTTTTTCCAAGAGCCTTTGGACATCAGAGTTACTGAGGGCAAACTGATGTGTTTAGGAGGAAATCACCAAAAGGAGGGAAATCAGTTTGAAGTCCTGTGACTACCAAGAGGGTTTTGTTTTTCTTGTAGGTTTGAGCTGGAAAAGGTCTCCACAGGGGGAGCTTTTGGATCTGTGTTTCAGGCGCAGCAGTGACTCTGCCTCGCCCTTACAGTGTCTCAAGCCAGGCCTGGGCATTTGGGGTCACAGCCCAAGTGGAGATGCAAGCCTAGCTACACCCTGAGCTGTAGCTAACCCTGGGCTCTGCTCTAGTGCTAGGCTACCTCTTGCCAGTCGTCTGTGTGCCCAAGAACTACCCCTCCCTCTCTGGGGGCATTCTGTGACCTGGAAGGCAGCACCCCAGCCCTTCATTTCCTTGCAGGGATTGGAGCTGAGCTGTGGAATTCAAAACACCAGCAGATCTGCTTTATGTAGCTCTGGGAGCACATGCAATATTACAGCATCCAAAAAACAGCCATCTCTGTGATTTCACCCCACTGGATCATGCCAGGTCTCTGCCACTAGAAAAGCTCTGGCAGTGGGAAGCACCACTGGCTCCTGGAAAAGCAAGGAGCTCCAGCAAACAGAACTGCCAAGGAAGCTGTAGTACTCATTAACAAACATACACAGCTTACCAGTTTCTATTTGTCATACTGGGTGGGTAGCCAAATCTTTGAACTTCATTTCTCTCCTCTCCCTCTCCAGAATGAGGAGCTCCTGCAGTGCTGGCACCGCCACCATTGTAGTCTACACATTGTAATCTTTATTCCTTATGAACTGCATTATCAGCAAAAAGATTAAGTTTGCCTGTAGTATTTAGGGCAAGTCTCTAAGTGTGTACTACGCTCCCCTTTATCAGCGTCTTGTTGTTAGCACACGATAAAACTCTACCGGCAGTCATGTCTGAAGCTCGTTAAAATAGAAGGTACGTGAGAGCCAGGAAACTCAGAATTAAACCCCACACTTGACATTTACCAAAGATCAGACTACTGAGAGTCAATTGGGGAAAAGGAAATGCGTTTTCTGACTATTGCAGCTCTGTCACAATGAGATTTTTCAGTGCTGACAGTCTCAGGGCCAGATGGTACAAGCTGTACAGATCCATATCATTGAAGATAATGTGTACCTGCCAACTTACCATCTTAAATACTTAATACATAACATGAAGAAAAAGAGCCTGTCTTCACAAACAGCAAAACTTGCACATTCATGTCTTTTCGGTTCTTTCCCACTCTCACACCACAGGGGAGCCTGCCTACTTCCTTCTTTCTTACACAACAGCTTGAAGTTAATTTAGTATCTCAAAGCAGAGGAAGAGCTGAATTAATAGAAGCTAATCCGGGAAGTAGGCTGAAGGGATGCTAAGGAGATGTGAACAAGATTGATCCTTACACAGTTGAATTTACAAAGATTATTCTGTTGATTAAGAGAAATTATTTAACCAAAGTTTGTAGCCTATACTTGAGTGTTTTGGGTTCACTCCTCACCATGAACTAGTCCTTTGTTCTCAGAACTAAAAGCAAGAAAAAATACCAGTATATTTAAATTTGTTAATTGCATGCATTTTCCTTCTCAGCTCAAGACACTGTTACTAAAACAGATGGAGTATCAGGTTCCATCCCAGTTTCCATTCCGGAGCTTTCCCCAAGCACAGCAGACAGTGTTTTAGTGGCCTTTGCTCTGAAAAATCCTGTTGTGGTTACCCCAGGAATGAGTGTTTATAGGCTTCAGGCCAGTGTCAGTGAGAAACAGCTCTTCAAACCCACGAGATGAGAAAAAGCTACTGGCAGCTCATCTCCATCCAAACCAGTGAAGCTTGCTGACAACACTGCAAGCAGCAAAAAGCAGAGGAAGGCTGTAAGAAAAGCTTTTTCACCAGTCCACTGTCCCATAAAATGTAAGACACCTGGCATTCTCAAGTCACTTTTTGCATGTGACTTGAGAATGACCATTAGGCTGTAAGAAAAGCTTTTTCACCAGTCCACTGTCCCATAAAATGTAAGACACCTGGAATTCTCAAGTCACTTTTTGCATGACCATCATTCCTTCACCTAGAGCCATGTCCTTTGTGTGCACAGTACAGCATTGAGAGTGCAGCTCAGCTGCACATTAACAGCTCTATTATCCATCCTGATTCCTACCAAGGCCACACCAGGGTTAGCATACTTCTGGGAATATACTTCCTTACCTCGAAAAAAAAATAGGTTGGTTACCCTAAAACTCATTGATTTCTCTATATGTGTTACTTGATCAGATGAAGAGTATTACAGTCCCTCCAAATTTGCTAAAGTTTTCAGGCCCACATAAAAAGACGTGTGTTTCATGTTCTGCCACATCAAAGGCAATCACTCAAAGCAACAGACCTCCTTCTGAAGGGTCAGTTCCACTTAAACTGAAGTACCCCTCCTGGTCATTACTGTCTCCAAGCTGTGGTAACTGCAGGGCTAATGCCTTTCAGTTTCCACTGAGCTGTCACAGAGAACTGTGATTGTTGACTCAGGTTCCTGGTTAACTCTATGGTTAACATGTAAGCTATTTTACCTGTCTTTCTAATTTTTAAGCTACTTTACCTGTCTTTCTCACCCACAGTCAAGCAGGCATTTCCCAAGTTGCTCCAACCTCAGAAACTCTGTTCTGGTAACTTCTCTTCAAGACAGGTGAAGTTCATAAGCAGCAAGCAGTCATCTGCATTACAAAAAGTGGGTCAGCCAGGCAATCAAAAACATTCTTGGCCTTCTCTTCCCTGGCCATAGGACAAATAATGCTTTTTGTTTCCTCCTTCAGTAACAAGAGGTTTAAGCCTTTTGCATGCTGCAGTCAACACCCTGGGGTACAGGAAGTTTCAAAGACCAAATGTTATTTTCTGCTGTACCACATGCCAGTAAATTGACTTTTATTTATTTTTCTTTTTTTTTTTTTATGAATCCCTTGTTGTGGTTGTGACCTGCTTTTTCTGGTATCTGACTTTTTAAGATGTCACTTCTAAACTAAACGTGAAATCATGGTAGCCAGTTTATGTATAAATACTATGTCTTAGAATTCTGTGATTCCAGGAGAAAATGGTTTTCTCTTCAAAAAGTAGTTTACTGTGGCAAAGGTTTGACAAGGTGAATGTTGGGGATCTTTCAGTACAAGCAGGAACAGGAATTTTTTTCCATACATTTCTGTGCCAAACCTCACCTCTCTCCTTTGAGATCCCCTGCTAGAATGGGTGCAGAACCATACCTTCCAGTGCTCTGATTGATAACACCTCCCTCGTTTTTGGGTTACCTCCTTGGCATCTGCTGCTGCTTGAACCCACTTTTAATGACAGCCTTTTAGGACCTAACACTATTATTCTTGTTCTGTACAAGATTTTAGATCTGTGGATGCTGATGTAAGGCTCTGTGGGGCCTCATTTCCTCTCTTCTGCATCACAATTGACTAAAATAAAACAAAAGCATTATGTGACTCAGGAGTAGGCGTGAAGCACACTGTAACTTATCTCTCATGATGCTTAAGAGCACAAGTTGGGTCTCCCTTAACTAGCATCCTGTTTCCTTCTCCCAGACTTCTCCTCTTGCACTGCATTCCTGTTTAAATCCCCACACCCACACCCTTGCATTCCTGCTGCCCAGGAGTTCTGTTCATCCCAAACTGCCTGGCTGTGACACTGCTGCTGCCCATGGCAATGCATGTAAAGCAGAGACATTTGGAGTTCCTAAACTGGTGTCTCAGTCTCCCTTTGGGGCAGAATCACCCTTTAACCCTTGGGTTATCCTCTGCTGTTTATCCCCTTGCACTCTTGAAGCGAGTGATCGACAGTCTCTTCAGCTTCTTAGTCACTGTACACACCAGCCAGCAACAGGACTCCTTTATTTCTGGCAGGGAGCATGTGTCTGAGTTTCCAGTTCTTGTATTCCTGGGATCTGGATGGAAATTGTTACAGCTGGACCTTCATCCGTCTATACACACATAAATACCCATCAGGGATATGTCATGTTCTCCTGCTGTTGAGCCTTCAGGGAATTTCTGAAAAATCCTTCCAGTTTCACTTGAAGTAAACAGACACAGGAGAACTGTCACAGTCTGGCTGCTTGCCTGGATCTTCCAGCTCCTGATATAGCATGGAGGTACAACAAGAAGTGTCAATTGCAGTAATTATGCACTTCTCTCCACTGGAAGA